CATGCAACCTCAGTTTAGTGAAATTATTTGTAAATAAATGCAATTATTTTTAATATTAATTGCAAAGTCATTGCTGAAGTGTTCTTGACTTGGCTTGCAAATTAACAACTATGCAGAAATATAGCTACTCTTCACCATGAAGGCAAAACATACAGACGACCGAAAAGAAGTAAATAAACTTTAACAACTAGAATAAATTGAGTAAAATGAACTCGTTTAAGTTAAATAAGGAGAGCGTTTGCGTTTACAGCTTGAATTCCTTTGGAAAATTGCTGTTGAGGGTGAAATGCTTCATATTTATAAGCCTCGATGTGCTTGCTTCTGTCCTGCTTGGTTAACCGTTAGAAAGACTGATTTAGTTAATCCCGGGGGAATAAGAGAAGAAGGGTTCAGCGGGGTGTTCGCATGGATTAATGTCACAGGTTGTAGCTGAGTGAATGTTTACTTGCCCAGTTTAATTGAATTCCTCATGCTTTATACACAGCCATTACGGGTCGCAGATAGCCTGATTAGTTAACTCAAGCTTGCATCCCATTGACAGTTCTCTTCCACAGCAAACAATCAGCTGTAATAAGGAAAGATTCTCGCAATCAGTAAAAATACTGACTCTAATTCCCCTGATTCCCAAGTGGACTTATGTCCTCATTTATTTTATCTCAGCTTAAAGGTGCCTGTCAGATATACACAAAGAAGGTAATTGGTTTCAGTGTGTTGTTCCCACACACAATGTGTCTGTCACGCCTCAGCTTACCAGAGGAGACCACGCATTTGTCTTTGAAGGTTTATTAACAAAACCAGGAGACAAATTTAAATATGTAAACAAGTAACTTCTGCAGTTTATCCAGTGCACGGATGACTGGGCAGATCTGTTTATGTAGCACTTTTCAAACATCAAAGAATTAAAATTACTTTAAGAAGCGTACAAAAATATTAAATCAGCATTTAAGATTCATTACAATTAGATCTTATAAAATACAAATACATAAGGAAATTAATGGTAATGCTGTTGGTGGAGTGAAAAACATCAATCATCAATCAAAATAAAATAGCAATAAAATTAAATTAGATGCCCAAACCTCCAAAATTAGAGTGAAATTAAGACTTTTTTCCCTTATAAAGGTTGTTCCTTACAAGCCTATTCAAAAGGTCCTCCTTGTCTGTTTTTACCTGAATTAAATGTCATCACATCTTCTTATTTACTTTCTCTAACCAATGGCACAGCGGGGAATGTGTTACAATTTGCGAAAGAAGTAAACACAAGTCTAAACCGAAACAACATAATGAATACCAGGGGAGGGACGGAGTGACTGATTGCCTCTGTCAGCCTTTAAAGTCGAACATCCAGCCAGCATAGGTGTCAGACGTCCCTCTGAAGGACTTCTAGCCAGTCTCCCCGAGAGAGAAGTGAGCAGACAAAAACCACGCAGCACTTCATGGTCATCTGCCTTTCCAGTAATTCTGTCTTTCTCCTCTGTTTCATTTTCCAGACAACTGTTAGACAGCTATCAAAACAATCAAGCTCCCTCCAGTAGTATATTAATTGGTCTGAAGCAATTTATAGCCACTATAATTAATGGCTGTGGGTGTGAGTCACAAGCAAGCTTGCGCTCTCCATGCAAACTTTACGCCTAGGCATTAATGCGAAGAGGGAGTAATTCTTTATTGACGTGCACTGTCCAATTCCTATTTTTGATTGTCAGTGCTAATCCAGTTAGCTGACTTATACCGCAGTGCAAAGACAGGCACGGAGGACATTAGACTGTGGGGCCGCCAAAATTCTCAAGTCTATTTACTGGTATCAGCATTGCTTTAAAGATATCATACTGACTAAATACAGCAAACTACTTAGCTATAATGATGAGTGATAAATGGATTCCATCAGTCAACATCACAACAGATACTTCATGAATTTTTTACGATTAAGAAGCAGGATGAGCGTGTTTCTCTGCTTGATAGAGGGGCAGAACAGAAGAGCCTTGTCCAAAATATTTGTTCAGTCAGGGTTCAAAAGCGTCTCACGGTCTTCACCACTGAATAGAATGTATGTAAATGTAAAATCAACTGCTGTCGCTGTTCCCCAATTATTTACGTGACAACAACAGAGTACAGTTCATCTGCTAAGATGCTTCCAGCTTCCAGTTTGGATTCGGGAGACAGACACCCTCTCACTTTTAAGATTAGGCTTAAAACGTTTTTTTTTTTAAATAAAGCATATAGTTAGTTGGATCAGGTGGCCCTGAATCCCCTCTTAGTTACACTGCAATAGGTCTACGCTGCTGCGGAATTCCCATGATGCGTTGAGTGTTTCTTCTTCAGTCACTTTTTTCACTCACTACCTCTCTACATTTAATTATTAGTTATTATTAATCTCTGGCTCTCTTCCACAGCATGTCTTTTGTCCCATCATCATCCGCTCACCCCCAAACCGGTCGCGACAGATGGCCGCCCCTCCCTGAGCCTTGTTCTATCGGAGGTTTCTTTCTGTTAAAAGGGAGTTTTTCCTTCCCACTGTCACCAAAGTGCTGACTCGTAGGGGCTCATATTAATGTTGGGGTTTTCTCTGCTTTACAATATAAAGTACCTTGAGGGAACTGTTGTTGTGATTGGTGCTATGTAAATAAAATTGAATTAGAATGCAGACCTTCAGTTCAGTTTATTTTGTCAAACTACTCTTTCCATGGTCAAAGTAACAATGGACTGCTCAAGACTGTCCTCTTAACTTTTTACTTTACTTTTAAGGTTCATTTGAAGTAGAAATACTATTTGATATTCACAGACAGCCATTTGATCATACTGAGAACTGCAATGTCATGACATTGCATAGCTGCAAAGGATATTTTTTTCCTCCCACATATTTTGAAGGGTGGAAAACAAAAGAGTGTAATAGTCTTTGACTTTGCAAGTTTCTCTTGTTTGTACAGTTTCACGTTGCCTAACCACACAACACATGCATTACCTGTCTGGTGCACAGACTGTATATAAAAGTAGCCATCTTGCCTTTCCCCATTGATTATAGATGTCTTGTTATGAAGCCTCAAGCTGAGCATTTTTGCTGTACATGTAGCTACCTCGGTGTTTTGAAATGGGACGAGACAAACAAAGAGTGCATCTGACTGAGAAGCAGAAAGACAGTGCACAGACGTGGGTAGTGACTTGTCAGTTACAAAGCATTCCCCCTGCTTTATTGCCTTTCTCAACACTAAATGGGGCAATAATAAACATTGCTCATATTTTTTTCTGTAAGATGCTGGAGTTGCATGGAAACGTCATGACCCATATGAAGATTTAAAATTGTAATTTTGTTGCAAAAACATGAAGGATGAAAAAAGCTGCAGCCTTCAATGCTAAGTGTCTTATTTTCCCTTCTTATAGAGCAAACGAAAAGAACGTCTCTCATATTGTCTGTTACTCACCAAACATGCAAAACAAGCACGACTGTCATGTTTTCTTTCTTTCCTTGGTTCCTTTGATATCTCAGATTATTAAAAGAAGTGGTCACTGTCCAGCCTACAATGACAGAAAGACTGCTCTCTTAACGGTGGCTTGTAAGTCCTTGGCTTCAGAGTTCTGGGCTTTTGCTGCCAAATGGATTTTTAAAATTATGATCCTGCCTACGTTATTGGACCAACCTACAGTGAGTTGTTTTGCAGTAAGATACCATGTTGATGCCTCATATTAGTGTGTCTCAAAAAAAATGAATATCTGGATCTGAAAAAAGATCTTTTTTTCATAATTGAAATTCCAAAAGATTAACTTTCATATATTCTCTATTCATTACATGTAAAATGAAGCATTTCAGGAATTTGGTGTTTTAATTGTGATGATTATGTTTTATAGCCCATGAAAACCAGAACCTCAGTAACTCAGATTATTAGTATATTGCCTAAGAGCAATCACAAAACAAGAATTTACAATACAGAAATGTAATGTACTCAGTACTTGGTTAGGGCTACATTTCCTCATGAGCTCCTGCATCGGTGTTGTGGAGGTGATCAGCTTGTGGTACTGCTGAGGCGTGACTGAAGCCCAGGCTGCTTTGATGGTATTTTGAGGTCAGGTGTTTCTCGTGGTCTTCTCCGTGGGTTCAGGCCAGGAGAGCTGACTGGCCAAATATGCTCATTAATAACATGGTCAACAAACCTTTTGGTACTAGGTTTGGCACTGTGGCGAGGTGCTAAGTCCTGCTGTAATAGGAAATCAGCATCTCCATAAAGCTTGTCAGCAGATGGAAGCATCTGGTAGATTTCTGGTTTTCTCTGTATTATTGTTGGGTCTTTGCCTGAGAATGTGAAGCACCCTGAGGCAACTGCTGTTGTGATTTGGCACTATATAAATAAAACTGAATTGAATCAAACTAAAAATTTGAAATGTCACCTTGCACTTTTAAACACCCTGGATTATATGCCTCTTCACTCGTCCTGCAGATTCTAGGACCTTGATTTACAAGTGAAATGTAAAACCTACTTTCTGAAACCAGGACTTTAGACCGCAGAACAGTCCAGTTCCTTTTTCTCTTTACCAGGATAAGCTGCTTCTGACACTGTCTGTGTTTCAGAAGTTGCTTCAGATTAGGAATGTGATATTTGCTCCTCTCATCCTGAATCAAGAGCCACAAGAGCATTGTGGCTCTTGTGGTCTGAGCATTGTGGCTCTTGATGCACTGACATCGGCCTCAGTTCACGTCCAAGTCCTTGGACAATCTTTTCTTTACAATCTTTACAAGGCTGTGATCATCTGTGTTGCCTGTACACCTTTTTCCTGTGACGTTTCCCCTCCAATGATCTAAATAAGCTTTAATAAAGCAGTCTGCAAACTTTTCAGTACTAACATTCTGTGGCTTAACCTCCTCATGGAGGATGTTGTTGATTGTCATCTGGACAACTGTCAAGTTAGCAGCTTTCCCCATGATTGCTGTTACGTTTACTGAACAAAGCAGAGAAATACATGCCATGTATACTGTGTGAAAAACAATTTACTCAAACTGTAAATTAAATATTCTAATAATTTGAAATATTTCTGATCAAAATTAAAGCAAAAAAGATTGGAATATTTCACGTTGTATGTAATGGATATTGAATATATGAAAGCTTTCCCTTTCGAAATTTTGGAATTTTCCTAGTTGGGTTGACTCAGCCTGATGGGATTTTCAATAAACATTTTTCTCTATAAGAGGTACAACACTTGGACTCAGTTAGAGCCAGCACTTTGCTAAATTTGGCTGGAAACCAAGAAAAGGACAGAGAAAGCTATATTTAGAAACATCTCTCAGACCTAGAGTGTCCATGTTATCAGTGATTTCATCAAGTGGAGCTTCAAGTGGAGCTTCCTGGATATTTTTCTTGTGTTCATGGAGTCAGTGAACTTTTGAACAATGGACTATTCACTGTAATTTCCTGGAGACCTGAGCCCTTGTTCAGGCAGGGGGGGTAAGAGCAACAGATTCAGAAATAAAAGCTCCAACAATACCATGTAACACAAATTCCACTAAGTCAGCAAATTAAGATCCTCCCCTTCATTATCCAGATAGCCCTGGAGAAAAGTGTCTATTATCACAGGTTAGGGATCACCTCACATACTGGTAAAAGTAACCATTGATTCGATTTTAAGATGGACGTTTAATTTTAAGTTTCATCCTCAAAGATTAGAGAATTAAAGTGCTTCCTAGAAAGTGACCTGGACTTTTCTTATCCTCTCTTGAAGCTGAAGTAGTCCGTCATTCGTCAGACTTAAAAGGTCGTCTGGTGATGACAGCACAGGTTACAGGCTTGTCTCGTGTATGACTTTGAGGAAAATGGAGTTATTCAGAAAAATAGAATATTGTCTTATTTGAGAATAAAATGCTACAGCAGTGTTCTCTGACCCTTAGACAAACCTGTGAAATTAGTTTTATACATTTCTGAAAAGTTCACTCTTTGAAGAGGCCGGATCTTCGCACCATGCACAAAAATGTATCAGATGGATTTTTTTTTTTTGTTGTTGTTGTTTTTTAAGATTTGCTTCTTGAGAGCGTTGTTTCCAAACTGCTCTCTTAAAAGGATAAGGGAAAAGTCACCTTTTATTCCCCTTAACTGTGCTTAGAGCTACAGTAATTGCTGTCTTAGATGGACAGAAATTAATTTTTGAAAGCTCTTTGAAGTACCCACAGTGAAGCTTTTCAGCCTTTCATACTCAGTGTGATTACTTTGGCAGCTGTATGAAGAACGCCGTTTGTGCCTGATGAATAACTGTCAGCATGGAGTTAGGTATTAAAACAAACTGGGGAGGGTTTCTGTCATTACTACGAAATGCAAAGATCGTTGTCTCCTCTGAAGCCGTAATGCATGTGAAGCAAAGATACAGTGTACACCACTGCATCTTTGCAAGCGCCAATTCGAGCACCTTCCTTTTGCTAATGTGACAGCCATTTTATCAAGGATTCTCCTGTGTTTGGGTCAATACTGAAATATTGAATTTCCTCATTAATCGCTGCCCATTTCCTGCTTGCCATAAGAGAAAGCAGCTGCGCTGTACACTCACTGAGGCCACAGACTCTGATTATTGCCATTTAAAAATCTGATCACTTCTTATGAAGTGAAAGTGGACCAGCGGATGGTAGCTGCAGATACTGCACTGGCATTAAAATGTGTGAGTAGTATGTAGTCCTGGCTTATTCAGATGACCAGTGAGTACTTCTGCATACGTGCAGAATGAAATAAAGGCAAATCTAAAATAGTTTTTGCACCATAGAAGCTCATGGAAATGAGGTGTTTTGATTGCAAAAAGAAAATAAAATAGTGCTGGTCAAAGGGGAGCTCTTTTGTTAAACTGCAGCTCCTTGTTTTTATTCTGGCTGCCCCTAACAAATAGAAGGTTTTGAGGATCAGTCTGTTTGCACATTTGCACAAATTGCATTCATTTTTGCTCTGTTCTGATAAACTATTTACATAATTAAGTCATCATTTGAGTGCTTAAAAAGATTAAACATCCACAGCTTCGGGCCTGAACTGTGAATGTCTGTTGAAATTCCGAAGTTGAACTGAATTAAATATTTTGGAATAATGGACTTTTGTTGGACAGAACAAGCCATTTCCTGCAACACGCCTTGGGAAATTGTAATGGACATTTTTAATGTTTAATGTTTTATGATTTACATCATTGGATCTAATGGAAATAACATTATGTGCAACCCAACAACAGTCTGTCAGTCACAGCAGTTGCATTTGCACACTTTGATGAGATTGGCAATGGTTAAAAGTTCTGGGAAAGAAGAGAAAGCAGACTATGAGTTTAGATCATTGAGTGGCTTTTCTTATTTGTTTTCTTCTGTTTTTTGTTGTTTTGTTTTTGTTTTTTGCTATTTAGCATTCAGTCCCTCCGGTCACTAAAAGACACCATCACTTAGGCGAACCCTAAAGCCTAACTCCCAGAAGGTTCGGGGGTCTGAGGTTTAAAACATTTTGAGATGAATTCCAGCATCCAGCTCTCACCCTGCATTTTAATGAGCCTATTTGCATACTTGTTCATCATTATCTCTGTAAAGCTTATTGATGTGAAAAGTGTTGTCACATTAATGTGTTAGCTCAGCACTTTCAAACTTGGCTCCTTTTCTATATTTTGATTTTGGAAATACATGAAAGGACTTGTCGACATGTGATGAGAGGAATGAGGAAAGACAGTTGGGCAACACTTACATAAAGTCACTGTGGCTTGAATTCTACTCATGCAGGACATTGTACCTCCCAGCTGTGACTGCTGGCCTTCCTGCCACAAAGATAGCAAGCTAATTAGGATTTTCGGAAGATTTCGGATGGGCAGGTCTGACACTTTACCTCCACAGTCAGTATTTAAACGAACCTTATACTTTTTCAAAAGATGTTCCAGTAGTCACCTATAACATTCCCTTTGTCAGATTCAGCACTGACAGTCTCGACACGGTCGGGATACAAAGTGGCTGATGAGAAGGAGGACTTGGATATCTGACATCAGTAACCATGACACGTGTGAATCCAGCCTCAGCTCCGTTTTCTTCTTGCTGTAGAGTGAAAGAAGGTGCTCCCAGGCCACAGAGAAGCCATGATGTACTGAACTGCTGATTTCTTGCGGCAGCGCATTAACCAGTACACTTAACTTAAAGCAGCTGGAAAAACTCCACAGTGTATTGATTGAGCAGTGGCTTGCACTTCACTTAGAGTGCACCTATTAATTACACGAATACACTGTGACAACTTTAGCGTTTGTTGTAGTTGAAGAAAGATAATTCCATTTCCCGAGAGATGATAAAGAAGAGCGGAGATGGTACTTACACAACATCAGTGCTGATTTTCCTGAAAGCATAATGAAGAAGTCACTAATGAATTCACAAACAGAAAGTCTCAGTGCCTCAGCAAACTGCCTGTACATTAAGTCATGGTTTAAAGATACCTTCTTTAAGTTGTTCTATCTGAACCCTTATAGTTTCACATTTTTATGCTTTTTTTTTTTCTCCTGTTGGTTGGCTATCTTCAAGGTTTAAGAGCTTTCTGGTTCCCTTTTTGTTTTTATGTACACACACGTCAATGCTCGACTAAAGTGTGCTACACCTTTAAAATATTTTCTGAACTTCTTGATTTCTTAAGAACTCCCATCGAGGTTTGAGGTTGTTTGTCTGTTATTTTATTGCATGTGTCAAATTTTAAATGGTATTTGGTGGGAAAACAACAAACAAATGATTCGTTTTTGTTGCATCCTGATGTTGCAACATAGCGTGTTGCTCGTCATTTCATGTCACGAACCCACACTCTGACCTTTTATGTGTTATTTTAGTCTGTAGAATATTTATTTGTAAAAATAATGAGCGAAATGGGCCCCCACCGGCATGCTATTCATACACCATCCTATAATATCACATTGTTTGTTTTGAATTCAGGAATAGATTTAAAAATTAAAGGGATATTTTAGCAATTTTCACTAAGCGCATTAGTTGACCTTAATCACTACAAACAAATATTTGCATATGAATGCGCGCAACTTAAAGCTTTTTGGTTCCTGCTGGTCGTTTGCTTTGTAGGCTTGAGCTTAATCTGGAGACTGAAAAAACACCACATTCTGACTGCAGTTTAGTTTTGTTAACTCTAAAACTATTCGGTCAATTTGAAACATTTTGTTCAATTCAGTAAATTTTATTACTTACTGATTTTAAGGCCATGTTAAATGACTTGACGTGCTGACTGCAGATATTTTGCCTGAATTTGTTCTATATTGACACTGAAGTTTATACATTTGGGTTGTGGTTATTTAATTAATTAATTAATTAATTAATTAATTAATTCATGTATTTATTTTGCCAGTACTTAACTGGTGTATGGATTTATATATCTATGTGCTATTAATTTATATTAATTTATGCAACTTATGACAGTACTGCTGTCCTTCTTGGACTGGACACTGTAAAAAATCATTTTAATCTCAAGAGTTTTATTAAAGGTTAAAAAAATAATAAGCAATTATTCCACCTTTATATTGTAAGGTGAAGAGCCCACTATATTAGAAAATCAGAGGCTCTCTTATGAGCAACACTTGGGAGCAGTAGTGAAGAAGAACTCCCTTTTAACAGGAAGAGACCTCCAGCAAAACAAAACTAGGCTCAAGGAGGGACAGAAAGCTACCAACAACCAGTTGAGGGGTGAGGGGAAAGAGAGAGAAAGGAGAGAAGAGAGAGAAAGATTAAAACACACAAATAGTTGGCAAGAAAAGGCAAAAAACAATGCTGTACATCTATAAACAATGACCGAAGGGTGAACAGGAAGTTTATCCCTGGATATGTGCAGCTACACAGGAATAATTGAAAAAAATCAGCTGTTGGCCCAAGAGGTTAAGTCAGCAGACTAGCCAGTGGGTTTGCAGACAAGCCTTATATTCATGGACATTACAGTTTGTGTCACACTGATCACAGAAAACGTGACAAAAAGCGTAGTGCTGGACACCTTTTTTAATCAAAGAAATGCAAAACAAAATGATAAATATGAGTGCATGTGCACTATGCATGCCAAAGTACGTACCATCAGTACTTACTGCATATGACTGATGGTGTACGTACAGTCCGTTTCCGGCTGGCACACATTAAATGATAGAGTTAGGGCTATGACAGTGTTAAGTGCATATGGGGAGGTAACAACTTAATTAATAATGTTAGAGCTCTTAAAGCTGCACCGATCAATATTTTTACATTAGCCGAGAAGTAAATGACGGTGAGTAATGAGCAATGTTGTTGTGTTGTTTGTCGTAATGTAACCAAGAGTCACCCTGCAGTTTACCCTCAAAGTGTTTTAGTGCCTTCAGTTTATTCATTCGGTCGTATTGCCCACAGCCTTTTCTTTCACATTCATTTCCACTGCTTTCACAAGCATCAGGAGGCAGATTTTCTTTCATGAAAGTCTGGTTCAGAATGATTCGCCTGCCTCCAAACTGCAGAGAAACAAAAATTAGCAACTAGCTGGTGAACATTGTGAAACTGTTTTCAGGTGAAGAACCAGATATTTCTCCTGAGAGTTGGTGGGGACCAAAACAGAGGTGAGAAGGAAAATTGGAGTCAGAGATGTGTTGAAGCAACATCTTAAAATTTACAGGGAGCTTGCTATTGGACTTCCAATTGGTTGCAAATCCTTTGTAACACGGTTGTTATTAGATGTGATGAATACGTTCTGCTGTTCCACCCACAAAAAGCAAAAACCATATCTGACTTTAATTTTTAATTTTTGATGATCTCCCATGTGAGGTCGTCTCCTTTTGCATCTCCTTTGCACATGCTGCTTAAAGTCCAGTTTTCACCACATATGATGGTGAGTGACGATTGTGTTGGTGTAGCCAATAATCTCCTGCCTTTTTAATACACTATGAGGGGGGCACACAATGGCATGTACTGCAGAGGAGGCTGTTGGGCTGATTGGGGCCAGACCTCGGTTCCCACCCAGCTCTCGTCACTCATGCAGATTCTTGGCATGGAACTCAGGTCATTTTCTCTGTGCACAAGTTTTAGGTATTTTGTGAAGTTATAGACGTACAAGTGGAAGTATTCAGAACAGGATTTGAATAGATCGATCTAATAATGTTGGCACACTGTGCTGAAGTGCTCAAAGAGACAAATAAAAGTCACCTAATAATTTTGCTGGGTTGCTTAAACTTTTAGATGCACATATCATGAATACAAGACAATACGACTCACAGAAGTCAGCTGTCACTTGCAGCAACTAAAGGACGTAAGTGCACATAGCTGAATAAAGAAGAGGAACAATAAAGTGAGATGGAAGCATCAAAAAAGCACAAAGAAGTAGATATAAATCAGTAAATATAAGAGATTACTTAGTAGGGAAAGAAAGCTGGTCTGAACTGGTTAACCAGCCTTGTTATAAGTAGTCCTGGCAGGCCATTAAAGCTGTGGCTGAGGTCCCAGCATCAGTTACCTTATTAACTTTGCTTTAAATGAATGCTCCTCTAAGCTGATCAATTCTAGTCGAGACAGATTCTCGCCAGTGTGAACTGAAGTAGCCTCAGGCTCACATTCTGCAAATATACACCTCTGTGCATGAGTTAAAAAATATGCAGGAGGGCGCATTAATAATTGATGCAGTTACAAAACTCATGATAAGGAGACTGCGGCAGGACAGAAGAAGATGTTTGCTTTAAACTTAAAGGATCAGGTACATGTGTACTGACAAGAACTTAGTGTACTTATTTTAACCCATTTCAATGGTTTAAAAGAAATAAGTCAGATATGTATGTTACCCTCTAACATAATGCTTTGTATGTAAAAAAATAAAATAAAATCTTACCAATTACACACTTCATAACATGATTAACACGGGTGTCATATTTAGATTCTGTCAGGAGGAATTAAAAGTTAACTGAAAACCATGAAGGAGCAAATCTTTGACCTTTCAGAACAATCCCTATGCAGGTGCTATTAAAGAAAGCACTAAATTATTACTCCAGTGTAGCTTCTGAGGTGTGTGGCATCTCAAGCTAAATGTGAAGCTAATTGAGAATTCATCACATGTTGTAGCTTGAAAATGTCAGCTGGCTGTCAAACAGCCATGTTTTTATCTGCATGACATCATATTTATGATGTCTCCGAGGGTTTTGACCGGCTGCCACTGATTAAATGACAGTGAATCATTCAGTTTGAGATAAAACAGTAAAAGTCTCCAATGCAAGTGTTAAAGGGAAGTATTCACAAGTTAACACAAATAAATGTCTGGAAGCTTCCACTAGAAAATGAATTTTAACAGAAGAGAATAGTATTTGAGTACCAGAGGTCAGTAATGTGCTTCACTTTTACGTTTGCCTTTCTGCTGCATCAATCTGGACTCTATCCACTGCTACCCGCGAGGGAAGTGAGGCTTACTTCCCAGTTGAAACTCTATCTCTTGCATTCAATGTGCCCTCTAAGATCTTATTGTGGAATGGTTGATATTACAGTTCATTGCTGCTTCCCAGCTCCAGATATCCAACCCTTTCCCCTCCCTCGGGTGGGAAAGGGAAACCAGACACTGTCTTGTCCAGCCTCCCCTTGGTTGGCTAAACCTCTCTGCTACCATCAGTTTTTGTTAGGGCACCGCTGCAGCCACACGACATCTGACAACCGCAAAACTTGACTGAGGAAAAATTTGGAGAAAATGGGAGCTCCAGAGGAGGAAGCGCCACGTCCCCCATCAGACATCACTGTTTTCGGGGCCAACTGTACGCTCCACGGCCTGAGCCACATATTTCTGCCCGGTGGAGTGACTTTCCGGCGGCTGCTCTGGGCTGCTGCATTCAGCGCCTCGCTTTCCATCTTCCTGCTCCAAGTGGCCGACCGTGTGATCGAGTATTATCAATACCCCCATGTTACAATTCTGGATGAAATGGACAGTCCCGTCATGTATTTCCCAGCCATAACCCTCTGCAACTACAACACCTTTCGAAAGTCCCAGCTCCGGAGGAATGATATCTTCTGGATGGCTGGACTCCTGGGTGTGGAACAAGGAGACTTTGATGATTTCATGGCCGCTATAGGGCAACCCACAGACAGCAACACCAAGTTTTTCCCCAGCAAGACCTTCAACATGCTGGAGTTTGTGCAGAGGACTAGTCATAACATAGAGGAGATGCTGCTTGACTGCAAATACAGAGGCAAGGACTGTGGTCCAGAGAACTTCACCACAGTAAGTAAGGCTCCTCATGTAGGTGTCACCTCTTGTGTGATCAGTGTAGCCACTCAATCATTTAGGGCTAAAACCAAAAAATCCCAAACAAGATTACAATGAGAGGTTGAACATGTTCTCTCTGCAATATTTCATAATGTCTCAGCAGGTTAATTGCTGATTCATTAATATTTAAACAAAATATTTAATGGGAAGTGTCAAATTGTGTGTTAAAAATCTTTAATTTGAAATTATTAATAGAAAGCTTGAAAGCAAAATTTGAACAGAAACAAAGCCTCAGGCAGAAATACCAACAACTGTGAGCTGTTCAATATTCATTATAAAACTACGATTCCAGCGCTTCATTTTGCCCGGGGGTGAAGTGAAAAATGAGTCTGTTTATGTTTCTAAACACCGGGAGATCTGCTCAAAGACGTTACATTTCCAAAATGAGCACTGTCATGATGTCATGATGAGCATAATCATTCAAATCAGATATCGTTAGTAGAGGAGACATCACTTTGATTCAAATTATGCTGTCACTGCGTAATTTAGCTTTTTTTTCTTAACATAATCCCTACTTTATTTTTAAAAATACTAGTATAAATGACATGTTTGTGAAAAGATAAAGTAGCTTTAGGGAGAACAATGGGTACGTGGGTGGAAGAGGAAAAGTTTCTGAGGAATACTAATAAAGCAGCACTTTATCTCTGTTTACAAAGCAGGAATGTGTTTCGTTCGCCTTTATAGTGATGCCAATATTTATGCTGGGTCCAGTTCTTCACTTTGTGACTGCTATTAGCTGTAATTTTTCTTGAAGGAGAAATGAAAGTTACTTTCTTAAAAGTGTCCTCCGAAACGTTTAATCTACTGAGGTGCCATATGGTTCAACAAATCTCTGCTGGCATCATGCATCATGCATTATGAAGCAAGCATATGCTGTTTTCAAGACCAGTAGGGTTTTTAACACGTTACTGTTTTTCTTTGTAAATACCTCAGAAGGATTGTCGTCTTCATCGTAGTAATGGCACCAAATGTTCTAAATATTTGTCTCCGATCACAAAAATCTAAAGCACATAATGTCACAGGAACAATGTCATTGTAGAGATGAAAAGGTAATTTGTCTTAACTTGTGTGCCTTCATTTTTTATTTTATTTTTTTGTGAACTCCAGTTTTTCCTTCTCAATTTTCAGGTCTTTACGAAAGAAATAAAATTATGTCAGCAGAATCTGAGCGGAACTTAATCGTCCTGCTGCAGAGACAGGGGAAGGATTGTATTTCGATGAAATGGGCCATTGATTTGAGTGATGAAAACCCAGCCTGAGACGGGTGTCTCATGCTGCACAGTTTCTTTGGGAACCAGCAGTGAAACAGAGGCAAACGATTTATACTAATTACCTAGCTGTTCTAATGTAGCGCTACTGTTGCTATTTATTTATTTTTTTTGTTAGTGACAGTGATTCACATTAAAAGTAGAGGTTTGGCTTTTCAACTCAAACCAAACCTGACACCTACTATGAAGACTTGCACATTTAAATGACTCATCAGGTTTGAGTCATATTCTCAAAAACAACACAGCGCATATGAGCTAATAAAGATGCATTTTGATATTGCTGTGATCAGTCAGATGACCTTGGCTTCTTCATATCCCTGCATACAAAGGGCACATTTCAGCTAAATGTCAGAAACTGGAGATGCTCAGAGGGCCTAAGTATAGAGGGGACTAATTAAAGATTCATAGAGCTGCCTGAATTCCCCCTTCCTCGATTCCCTCGGCCTGCTGATCTTTCTGTGGGAGGCTGAGAGGCAGGTCCTCTCATAGGAGATAAGATGGGATGGAATTGAGATTACCCATTATATACTTCAGCAACATCAACACAAAATGACTCACACAAGGTCTAGACAACATCCGACAATTAGCTCTGTGTATGTGGAAAAACCTGAGAAAATATATGCACTGAATCATTCAGATACCTCTGCTGATGCACTTAATTGATCCATTTTGGTATGGCTTTTAAAAGGACATCATTAGAATAAACATACGGCTCGATTTTCCTATTTAAACCTCTTAGTACAAAGTTTTGCAGCTATTCGACCATATTAGTTGTAGCATACTAATACTTCACTTTAGTTTGATAACATTTTTCAGATGTCCTTTCGGATCTATTTCAGTACATGCATGCGTGTACGTATGTGTAGCATTTTAGACAAAGTAACAGTGGCTGGAGAAACTTGGCATGCCTGACAGTGACAGGAAAGACCAGATGTTTCAGCTAATGAGCTGGGTATGGGTGCAGTCGTATTGAGAAATCTCATAGGGGAAATATCAGCGCCCCCAAGTGCAATCACTCCCTTTGCATCAAGTAATGAAATATTTTTTGGGGGGAGAGATGCTGTAATTTACTGGTGGAGAACGACTCTCGTATATTTAAAAGCTGGCAGATGGTAGAGGCTGGGAATGTTCTGCCCATGCGGTGCTCTAAATATACATAGAAACATAGCCTTGAATGTCCCTGGATCAGTCTGTGGTAACAAGCCGTGCTCAGATTACAGTTTTTGGTAGCTAGGACGCTGTATATGACACAACATCACATTAAAGAAAACCATTTTTAGATTATAATATATATGATTTGCCAAATAAGTGTCTTGGTGGAGGCTTTACTTCATTATCAAATTAATCTCATGCCTCCATCTTGGTGCCTTACTGTCTGTGAAGTGGCGTGTGATTGATTACCTCATTAATACTCAAAAGCGTAAGCACCCCAACACACCCTGAATCATTGCTGTGGATTAAGCCTGCAAGACTAGCTCACACCAAATAAATCATCTGTCATTGTGTATATGCAGGATGCATGCCGAAGCTGGTGTAATATCATTTCAATCGATCACCAGCTCAGCACTTTAGCCGGCCCATGCCACTGCAGAGAGCTGATCCTAACATGTTTATCCCGTTACGCTTGATCTTCTATGTTGTCACTGAACTTCCCGTAGATCTATTCGTTTATGGTGTAACAAAAGACCTTTGGTTTAAACTTCCTTTTTAATATTACATTAAGTCTTGCCTGCCAAAGCTAGAGCCAGGAGCTGGTGTTTTACTTTATGCGCTGCAGTATTGTCTGGAGGCTGATGTTGGCTTTGGAGGTCAAAGAAAAGAAAAAGGTGAGTAAAAGAAGCAGAAGACAGGATTGAGTGTCAGAGATGCAGACAGAGAGAGAAAATAGGCAACGTGGAGAAAAGTACAAAAGAATAGCTCCTTATACCAGAGAGAGGTGGAAAGGGTGAAAAGCGACAAATAGATCTGAAGGGGAGCGCTGACACAAAATGGAAACAAATGAGAAAGAGAAAACAGAAAAAGAGGCTGCGCTGTGCTTAGATTGAGGTGGGACTGGGACTCAGCTGAGCACTGACACCATCACTGTGATTCAGCCTGCTTTGGAGCAGAGCCAGTGCCTCGATGCACAACTGGAAGCATTAGGAGAGATGAAAGGAAGAAGGTGTGTGAAGGAGCACAAAATTACACTGCTGCCTAGAGCATGAAAAGGAGAGTAGAGATAAAATAGAGTATAGTGCAAACAATGAAATAAACAAATCTGACGCACCGAGCATAGATGACAGGCCAGATTACAAATACTTAATGTGTTTATTCCAGTACTCAGTATCAGAAAAGATTACTGTGAAAATTGCTGTTACTCTAAGTGCAGCATTGGCAGTCCAGTCAATGGCACTGAGGAGGAATACTGAAGGAATTCATGGAGGGGATGCTGTGCGAGGGTGCTTTATGCTGACTTGCACATCCGGCATACGACCATAGGCAGACATCGGAGGTGCCCGTTGACAGAACCTCTTAAGTTAATTGGCTTGTTAGGTGGAGACACCGGACACAAATATGGCTCTGTCCAAAACCAATAGAGCCATTATGTTTTGTTGTAGATTATCAGCCTCCTGGCATCATGATATTCAAACAACAGCACGCATTGTACTCCCAAGTTTTCCTAATCTACTGAACACAGATGGAGCACAAATGACTAATGGTTCATATCACAAGGTCTTTTGATTTTTGATTGCCTCAGAAGTCATATTTAGTCCACTAATGGCCTCTGGGATCTACATCCTGGTCTCTTAGCCAATATGTTATGCACTGCACCTTTCAAAGTGTGGAGTTGCTTTCTGAGATTACTCTTCAAGACTATTTGGTCAATATCATAGACTGTATATAAAAGATGAACCCACTGGTTTGTGATACCTTGTTGTGAAACATCAGCATTAGTAATTTGGCCATGTTTGTGCCATGTTGTTGTTGTTGTTGTTTTTAAGGCAGAATTGATCATATATGGACAAATGGAGTATACTGCATAGCTCCATTAAACTGACACCATCACCAGGTATTATTGCTAAGTAACATGCAAATGAATGATCCGCACAGCAGGCCATCTATTTTTTTCTTTCAGATAAATCCACTAAAATATCTGAAAACACCACAAACATGCTGCAGAGATCCAGTTCAGTCAATTAACAGGGGTGAAGCCTACTAAGCCTACCAGTGAGTTAAAGTGGAAATGGCCTAACTTTAAGCCTTAATGCAGTTTAAATAGTAAAGCTATAAAATAATTTATCACCTTTTTTAGTCATCTTGAAGAAATAAATTACCCATAAATACCAAAATACTTTTTTGTACCAGCATGTGAACATGTTTACATTTCTGCTATTTTTGTTACTTTGCATCGTCTTAATTTTTCAACCCGTTGCACCTTTAGACAGAGGAGCTTAGACATCACCTATTGTTGGAAATGCCTTATTATTAGGCCACACCTCTTTCAATACAGGTGTTTTCACTGCCACGAGTATAAACTTGTATACAGTCAAGCACCTAGTAATGCAGTCTGCCTTAACAAACATTTTGAAAGATAATGCCGTTCTAAAGAGCTCACTGGATTCTGTGAGATTTCTTTCCTCCTAGATGACTAAGTGATTTTTATTTTTGTATGTACTGTATGTTTGTATTTATTTTTTTTTTCAGACTGCAG